AGGAAGGAAGGAAGGAAGGAAGGAAGGAAGGAAGGAAGGAAGGAAGGAAGGAAGGAAGGAAGGAAGGAAGGAAAACACGGCTGCTGCAGTCCTGGGATGGGCTCCAGCTTCCCAAATCCTCCAAACCCTGGAGGATTGCTCCCAAACCCCACCGGCTGCTCTGGCACGGTCTCAGCGTTTCCAGGAAGGTCTCAAGAGCTTCCCAGCCACAATTGCCTCTTCACTGAGCAGGGAGAGGCTCAGCGAAGGGCAGGGAAGGCTCTCCAGGTGTGGGACAGGTACTCACGACACGTAGGCGGGGTACACGAAGCCGATGATGTTGCAGAGCAGGGAAGCGCCGTAGCCGAACATGAGGTACAGCCCCACGAAAGCCACGGAACCTGCGGGGGACAGGAGGGTTCTGGTGCCCTGCTGTCACCCGGGGGACACCCCGCTCGGTCTCCCGAGCAGGATTCTCATCCCCGAGCGGCGACAGGTGAGTGATAACCACCACCCCCAATTAATTCCAGCACGCCCTGAGGTGCTGGATGTCCGCTCCTCCCCGAGGGAGCCGTGACCTGCTCCTGTCACCGTTCGTCCCCTCCCCGGGCTCGGATGGGACTTTACCACCCCAATCTCGCAGCACTTTCGCCCCTGGCCAGGGCGGCAGGAACCTGAGACGCTGACAACACACCCATGGTCCAAAGTCAAGGCTCCTGTCGCCTCCCCCGGAGCCGCTCGGCATTCCCAGACCTCCCGCTCAAGGACGAGCCCTGCTCCCGGATCCGGCGCCCGGGATCGCGGCTCCTCCCGAGCAGCCGCCGGCAGAGGAAGGTTTGGCTCCCCTGGGAGCCGCAATCCAGCCCCGCTTCCCTGCTGCTCAATTCGATCGTTAAATTAAATGTGAGCCGCAGGCTTTGGTGGCCTGGAGCCTGCCCAGCGCTCGGACACTCGCAGGAGGCTGGAGCAGCAGAGCTGGGCGAGAGGGAGCGTGGGGAAGGTGGGACAGGAGCTCTGGGGATGGAAAGCAGGGCTCAGAGGGCAGGAAAACCTCAGCGATGCACGGGATGGAGCACTTTGTCCAGCCCAGCAGCTTCTCCCCAGCGCTGGGACAAACTCCTCCATCAGCAGCAAGAAAGCTGGGAATTAACCTGTCTGTGCTGGTGAATTAAAGTCCTTGCTCGGGCTTGGAGGGCGGATTATCCCAGCTCTGCCCGCCGCAGCATTCCTGGGCTGAGCTCCGACCCCGATCCGGGGCACCCACAGCTCCGGGTCTTTCCTGGGAGACGGGCAGGAGCAGCGTGGCTTTGGAGCAATCCCAAACCTCCCTCCAAGGAGGGCAGGCAGGTCCAGGCAGTGCTGGGTTTCATTCCCCAAGAGCCTTAGAAGGGATTTCGCAGGATTTTAACCCCCAGAGAAATTTATGTAACAGCAAAACCCCAGGGAACGGCTCCGCTGAGGGAGAGGTTGGAGGTGGTGCTGCCCAAAGGTTGCTCCAAACCCCAGCCCACGGGTCCAAACACAAATTAGGGATTGCTCCAGAGCCACGGGAGGGAGAAATTGGGAAGTTTTAGTTCAGCAACAGCTTCTCCTTCCCGGGACAGGGATCCAGAATGCGGAACCATCACGTTTTTGGTGCGTCCGTTCTTGTTCTACCCCAGAAATCCATCACGGCTGAGCCTGATCAAATCCCCGGGATTGTTTTGTTTGGAAGATGCCTGAGTGGCACCACATCCAAACACGACCCGCACAGCGGCTGCTTCATGGGCGCTTCTCCCCTCAGAGTGGGAACAGCAGCCCTGCTGCAGGTGAAGGGTCAGAAAAGCACACCTGGAGGGACACAGGAGACGGGGGAAGCCCCGAGCACCCCCCGGGAGGTTTGATTTGAAATCTCAAATTGGAGCACGCGGATGAGGCCAGTTCGAGTTGGCAGCGAGGGCACAGGGCCGAGGGTCAGAGGAGAGGGGGGCACGGCGTGCCAGGAGGAGGATCCCCGGGGAAAATCCGGCTGGTTGCTCATTAATGAACAACAGCAATCCGGTTAAAGGCCGGATCCCCACGGTGCCAGCAGTGGGACGCGGGGATGAGCTCTCATCCCCAGTGCCCCATCTGACCCATCACGATCTGGGGGCTCACCAGATCACCCTCTGTCAGGGCCAGGGGTCCTGAGGGTCTCTCTGACACTTGGACCCTGTGAGCTTCGGCATTTCGGCATTTCGTGCCAGTGGAAGGCGAGGGCAGTGCGGTGACAGCCACGTCACCCCCGGCACCCCCAGCTCAGCGCGGCCCCCTCTGCACCCCCAAACCAGGGCGGCCCTGCCTGCCCTCCCCGTGCCCCCGTGCTGAGCCCAGAGCCACGGCGAGCAGCTGCCAAGGCGCTCCAGGGTACGGGGAAAAAGGGGACAGAACGGGAGAACCGGGGAGACCCCGCGGTACCGGTCGCACCTGTGGCCAGGTAGAGCCGTTGGACGCCGGTACGGGCTTCCAGCCGGCCCAGCAGGTCGCCGATCGGCCCGGGGCTGTAGAGAAAGCGGTCCAGGCGCTGCTGCACGGAGCCCATGGCGGCGGTGGCGATGCTGAAGGTGAGGAAGCGGCGGCGGCGGCCCCGGAGCGGCCCCGGACCGACCCCGCGCCCCGGTCAGTGCTGCCGCGGGGGGCGTGGCCAATGGCAAAGGGGGCGGAGCAAAACGGCGGGGCGGGGCCAATAAGAAGGAGGGGCGGGATTTAACGTTGGGGCGTGGCCAATTAGAGGGCGGGGCGGGGATCAAGACGGGCCAATGAGGCGAGGCCGTGCGGAGGGGCGGAGTCGACGCCGTTGCCATGGAAACGCGCGCAGTGTTGGCGCGGCCTCATGGCGGCTCGGCCCAGGCCCGGCCCGGTGCTGGCGCTGTTCCCGGTGCTGTTGGCACTGCTCGTGGTGGTCGCCACCGCCCCTCCGAGCCCCGCAAAGCCCCGCGTCTACCTGAGCAGCTGGGCCGTGCGAGTGGCAGTGGGGCTGCGGGACGCCCGGGCCCTGGCTCGCCGGCACGGGCTGCTCTACCTGGGCCAGGTGCTGCCTGGGCGGGGAAAGGCGGGCCCAGCCCTCCCCGTGTGCCCCCTTCTTGTTCGTACCCGCCCTGTGTGCCATTGTTTGTCCCCTTCGCTTGTCCCATGGGCAGGGACATCTTCCATTAGGCCAGGTTCCGCCAAGCCCCGTCCAACCTGGCCTCAAACACGTGCCGGGAATTTGGGAATCCTGTGCCAGTGTCCCCCCACCCTCAGAGCAAACGGCCTCTGGGCACCCCCAAGGGCACACACCCCCTCCCCAGGACTCCGCTCTCTGCTTGCCCTGCGCCACAGCTCCCGTTGAATTGGCCGTTCTGCCCTGCAGAGCCCAGGCGGGGCTGGCCCTGGTGTCCCCTAGAGAAGCTCACAGCAGCTCTTTGTGCCCGCAGGTGATGGAGGGAGAGCCCTTCCACCACTTCAGCCACCGCGGCACCAGGCAGAGAGCCCTGAGCAGGCACTGGGGGTGGCACATGCGGCTCAGCAGGGACCCCCAGGTAGGGAGGAGGGCGCAGGGAGCCGGGGGACAGCTGTGGGCAGGCACTGCCCGGCACCCACAGCGCTGCTCCCCGCCCAGGTCCTGTGGTTTGAGCAGCAGACGGCGAAGAGGCGCGTGAAGAGAGGCACCGGCGTAGTGCCCACGGATCCCTGGTTCCCCAAGCAGTGGTACATGGTGAGACTGGGCTGCTTCCCCCCCTAACCCTCGCTCAATCACGGCAGGGACCATATCCACCTCCCTGCTCAGCATCATCCCAGGGCACAGGATTGTGTCTGGATTGTCCTGGGATATCCCCAGGGAGGGAGGCTCCACAGCCTCTCTGCTCCGGGCTCGGGGCACTGCACACTGAGGAAGTTCTTCCTCCTGTGCAGGGGGAATTCCTGGGATCAGTCCCTGCCCGTTCCTCTGGTGCTGTTTCTGGGCCCAGAGCCCTCAGTGCAAACAGGGACACCCAGAGCTCAGGGCCCCTCTCAAGGCTGCACAGCCCCAGCTTTTCTTTGTCAGAGATGCTCCAATCCCCTCCTCAACTTTGTCACCCTGCACTGGACCCACTCTGGGAGCTCCACGTCCTGAGGAGCCCAGAGCTGGCCACAGCACCCCAGAATTGCCTCCCAGGGCTGAGCAGAGGGGCAGAATCCCCCCCAACCGCTGGCAATGCCCTTCCCAGTGCCCCACCGAGACATAAACCGAGCTAATGCCGGCAGTGATGAGGCAGCAGGAGCCCTCCAAGGTGACCCTGGGCTGCCGATCAGATTTAATCTCTTTTCCAGAACAACGACGTCCATCCCGACCTGAACATCCTCACGGCTTGGAGCAGAGGCTACACGGGGCTGGGGGTGGTGCTGACTGTCCTGGATGATGGGCTGGAGAAGGATCATCCCGACCTGGCTGCCAATTATGTAATTATGGGGGGGTCCAGGGCTCCTTCAGGGGGGGTGGGACTCAACACCTTCATCCCACCCCTGGCTCTGTGTGGTGGGAGCTCGGCCTCTCCAGGGCTGGATCCAAGGTTTGGAGTCTCCCGCAGTGAAATCTCACACTGAGGAAATGTTAGAACTTGTACACACACCAGAGCCCCCAGAATAGCTGTAATTACAGCAAGCTGCAAAGCCAGTAAAGCTGGTAAACCCTCCTGTGCTCCTCGGGGAAGGAAAGGCAATCCTGGGTGTTTGGAACACCGCTGTTTCCGTGGGTTGTGGTTCCTCACTGCGGGCTGCGTGGCCAGCCAGGGTCGCCCTCAGGTGGCTCGGCACACTGGGCTCTGGCAGGGAAGCAGCCACGTTGTGCTGCTTTCACCCCATTCTGCAGAACCCCAGAGTCACTGAGGCTGGAAAAGGGCTTCAGGCTCGAGTCCAAGCTGTGCCCGATGCCCACCTTGTCCCCAGCCCAG